AATTGATTGTCTATAGTAGGCAAGTGAAGAACCAAAATAGTCTGATAGCATTTATCCACGCATTTGTGACGTTTTTATTTGTCACAAGAATGTCTGTTGCGACGGTTTAAACTGTCACATATATAGGCTGTTAAAGTTGTTGGAAAGAATTAATGTGACACCACTAGGCGTCACAAAAGTCCCTTTTGGGGACGAGCAAGGGCGTCTTTAAAGAAATGTTTTTACGACGTCACCAAAGCGTCACAATAACCTATTACCACGGCCACCTATGTGACGCTTTGTATAAGCGTCACAATAGCAAAAGCGTCACGATAGCCGCTTTTGGTGACGGTTTACGGCGTCCCGATAGATGGTTTTTCTAGTAGTGTATATCGAGTTTAATCCTTTTATATTTGATTTGTAGCATATGAGATTTTCAAATTGGTTTCTAGAATTGAATAAATTGTCAATCGTACAATAACTAGTATTATATACCTTTCGTGTTGTAAAATTAAAAAAAAATACAATAATATATTATATTTCTCATTTTACAAAAACATACATTAAGCTGCTTTTCATTTTGTAGAATAGTTATTTTTATATTAAAAAAAGAAATTTTAACTTGATAGAGTAACCAACGAACAGTTGGCATGGTATCAATTTTTCTAAATTTTAGGGGTAATTTAGTCTTTTCCAGTTTTCTATTCAAGGGGGATTATGTGCCTAATTTCACACTAAGGAGGTCATGCGGAAAATGTCAAAACCACAAGGGGATTATGTGCATACTTTCATATCATAAGGTGGTCATGTGCAAAATATCCAAACCACAAGGGGGTTAAGTGCTATTTACCCCCTCCGTTCCTAAATAATTGTCACTTTTCACTTTTCACAAATATTAAGAAACTCAATAAATATATCTTGATTTTAGAAAAATCATATAAAAATGACTAAAACAACCTTTAATATTTAATGAGTTATAAGAGAAAATTAATGAATATAGTTTCATTAATAAGGTTAAAACAGGAAAAATGCATTTAATGCAGTATTGGAAATCTAAAGTGACAGATAATATGGAACAAAAATATTTTTAAAAAGAGACAGTTATTGTGGAACAGGTGGAGTATATCATAAAAACTATATTATGAAATTATAAAATATATCATAAAATTATATTTTATATCATACTAATAAAAATAAATAATAATAATAATAATAATAATAATAATAAAAATAATAATAATAAGAATAATAATAATAATAATAAAAATAATAATAATAATAATAATAATAATAATAATAATAATAATAATAATAATAATAATAATAATAATAATAATAATAAGACTAATAATAATAATAATAATAATAATAATAATAATAATAATAATAATAATAATAATAATAATAATAATAATAATAATAATAATAATAATAATTATTAATAATAATAATAATAATAATAATAATAATAATAAG